CTTTTGGGTGTTAATGATCAAGGAAATGAAGAAGAGGGAACAAAGCAGTCTTCAGGTACTTGTTACGGGTATCCATATTTTTTGACTGTTCTAGAATCTGCTTGAACCATTGGGTTTATGTTTGTCGGCTGCCTTTCACCACTCTCAGGTATGCCATCCTGGATGTAGTAAATTTTGTACTTCCATTTGTAAATTATTATGTTTTGGTGTATATTCTTCTTGTTCTTTTTACGAGAAAAGGAATAGTGAAAAAGCTTAGCAAAAGCAGGAAACAGATTATAATTCTTTCCTAGTTCGCAAAGAGTAAAAATAATTTACCACCAGTTGATGTAATTGAACCCACCTTTGTTGAATAGAGAATTCTGAATGATTTGCCTGATGCACATTTTCCTATATTACCAACTGGAAGGTCTACGGTCTACCACTACCAGTCAGTTTGAGTTGAACCATTAACGAAAACAGCTGGTAGTGGTCGGTTAAATTGTTAGGAGTTAAATGGGTCGTTTTATAGGAGGGATTTGAACCCTCACGATTTCAAAAGTCAGATGGATTTTTCCCTTTTTACAATAAATTTCACTGTTGCCGGTATTGATATTAACATTTAGAATGGATCTCGACATATTGTATTTCTTTAGCCAGTATGATTTGGCTAAATTTTTAACATTTATCAGTTGTAAAATTATTTATCAAAAGTTTTAGCGCTGATGAATCTTTAAGAACTTTCTAATATTTCTTTGTTATCTGGGCCTGCTTTTAAATCAGAGAGTTCAACCATTTACGCTTAGAGGTGCTTTTATATTTTTTATTTATTGACGTCGAAACTTGAATATTACTAATATGACATTGTATTGTTACCAGTGTGACATTATATTTTTATGATTAGGCATTATTTGGAAACATTGTCCTAACTGATGTTTTCAGGAATTGATTTCAGATATTGGTTAGACTTTTGATGTCTAGTAAAAGTCTGGTAATATTATCCCCCTAGAACCATTATTGGGTGGTCGAATGATCAACTACTTTTGAGTATATTATTCAAGAGATTATGAGTTTGATTTATCTCGGCTGTTAATATGGGTGATTACTGAAGTTTTTATTTGGCTAGTAGTTAAAGTCTTTCAAAGTCTTGAAAGATTAGTGGAGGAATTCAACTCTCTTGTTTCTCAACCATTTGGTCAGGAAGTCTTTTCTTTTATTTAATACACTTAAAAGCTTGAGGTCAAGTCTCCCTATCTCTTCCTTTCAAGGCCAAGTCCTTTTGATCTTGTCTTATTGGGATTGACTCCTTTTCGTTATTTTGTCTTCAACGGAACGGTTTAGTCAAACACCAGACAATTCATTGAACCCTGAACTAGATTGTACAGCCAACTTTCAAATCTGAGATTTCCTTTCAGTTGTGGAAGAGGGTAGAAATTTACCAACCAATTAGACCAACGTGTGCAAATAACTATTCAAGTGGGTTCAACGAAGGAGTTCTTTAGAAAAGACGAAAGTCTTCTGTGATACGTATGGATATGTGTTTATCTAATCACACGATGTTTTGCAAATTATGCGAGTTGATATGACTTGAAACAATTTAATTGATATACATGTGTAACTTTATGGAGTATACAAGGGGTTGTTTGGGTGGTCAATAGAGGGTTTATTTTTCTTTATTGATTTTTTGGATTCAAACTACTTTGGAGTTATTTTTACATTTGTATCTTATTTTAAATTTGGATTTGTAGTATTTTCAATAGGCTAGTTAAGGGTTAACAATTAATTATATGTCTCACTTATACAAAAAAAAAAAAAAAAAAAAAAGGAATTGAACACACGTTCGTTTACCTTAAGAAAGACGAACGAATTTTGTTTATTTATGATATGATGTCTATAAATCGTGAGTTGATAGGATTTGTAAAAATCGAATTGATGCATATGTGTCTACTCTATTAAGTAGCTTTGAATTGTATGTGTTCGTTTTGCCCTTAAAGCTGTTTTTAGCTACGATTATTTACTACCATTAAAGCAACTTCAATCCACTGGCTATAATTTGATTGAAACTGACTTGGGGCCGGCAATGAACAAAACTTGTATTCTTCCATGCTTTAACTTGTATTTGACCAAGAGTATACTAATACATGATATTACATTACATTTTTTTAACATTTTTACATAGATGTGACTATATCACATCACATATTTTACATTCTTAAAGGGTTATCATTTATTTTATTATGTTTCAAATATTTTAATGAAATATTGAGTTATAAATAATTGAACAAGGCATGTTGAGGAATTTGACAACATTTTGTCACATGAGTCATTTTCAAAGCGGTCAGAAAAATTGGATTGAATATTAAATTAGTGCTTCAATTGTTTAAGAACATTAATCTAACCATTTCGAAGTTGTATTACTTTTTAGTGTCGTAAACTGTAAATAGTATTACTAATTTTATTTTTTTATTATGGGGTATTCGAATTAGTTTACGCACTTCAACCTTGAAACTTTCAGTTGGATAGATAATACTGCTAATTTTGTTGGGTTTTTCAATACAATTTTTTAAGAGGTTTCTTTGAATAGAATTTTCTCCCTTCATTATTTGAAATAACAATTTACACATCATCCTTCTCGAATGAGAGTTTCTACCAATTACAATTTTTTTATTGTAAAATTAAACGCTAAAACTTTAATATAAGACCGACAATAAAGATAATTTTTTATTTCAAATATCTGAAGGTAAATATGTAAATTTAGCTCTTGTGTAAATAGTAAGTTTATAAAGATTTCATTTTTAGGTTAAGATTGAATTAATTATAAAAAAAAAAAATTTATTATTATTATAATTAATTCTTTAAAAATACTCATATTATCCTTATTAATAGAAGAAAAAGACGTATTGCCTAAGTTAAACATATGGGTTTGAGTTTGGTGATTTGAGTTTAACAATATTAATGGATTTAGTAGGTTTCAAATTTAAGACTTTAAACTCTAAACTTCTATTTAAATTAAGCTAAACCTAAATTTAAACACTATGTTTTTTAATAATAATTACGTTATCGGACTTTTAATAACATAATTATGTCGAAATTTCGAGTCAAAATATTGCTTTACAATAACCCATTTATAAAATTTAACCAAAAAACCTCTCTCTTTATGATCGGATGACAAACTTTTTAACTATTGGGTTAACTATTTTTAAGGGGTATTGTGTTCGAATTGCAGGGTAAGTAGCTATGATAATATGTGCAATTATTTTAATCCATTGGCCTTAAGAATTAAGTAGACTCCAATGTAGGTTTGAATACCTCGATTACCTATAATAATAATAACTAAAAAAACTCTAGTTTTGAATGCAAAATCAATTTCATAAAATCACACGTTTATTGAATTCACCCAATTGATAAAGTCTTAATTTATTGAATTCACCCAATTGATAAAGTCTTAATGAGTCATCAACAATTTAGGAAAGTGCCGAGTGATAACTCCAAATCAATACGACCAAGTCTTAATTTTCGTTAAAGACTTGACCCCATCAAGTTTGATATTATTTACTAAATTGCCCTATTATCGTTTATTAATTATTTTAATTCCTAAAGCTTAATGATCGGGGGACTTTTGTTGTTTTAGAAGGATTTAAATAATTATTCAAACCTCAAGGGGGTTATGTAAATAAAAATTTCTTCTTATTTTCTTCTCACCAAACGACGCGTTTTCGTAATAAATAATTTAAGCCTCCGTACTTGAAAGAAACTATCTCACTTTCTTCGATATTTCCTCTTTCTTATTTCCTACAAAAATTTCAATTTCTAAGTCCACCCAATTGTTGGTTTCTTATATATATATACTAAATAATTATGTTTTTTCATACCCTTTATTAGGCATTTATTTTTTTTTTATAATTTTAAAGGAGGTTTTTAATAATTTATATATTTTTTTGAAAATACTGGGTGTAGAGAAATTAAACGATCACTTATGGAGTTTATGCAATTTCATTGGCAGTTGCCTTTTTTGGGAATATTTTTAATGTATTTTTTCCCTATCATTTAGACTAATTTTATATTCTGTTATTTGCTCCAGTTTATAAATTATAAATTAAAATAATGAATTTTTTTATATATAATTTTTTTTGTTTGTATTTATTAATACTCTAAAGATATAATTCTATAATTATAAGTATACTAAAAGATAAAATATGACATTTTTTGTCGTTATACTTATACATTTAATAGCAATAAAAAAGTTAAATTTAGTAAATAATATATATAACTTTTAAAACTATTTTTAAAGTTAATTAAAAAAATGAATAAGTTTAAAATACAAAAATCTGAAACTAATCAGGATCTTTGCTAGCATAATAGCTATTCGATATTTATATTAGATTTTTCAATAAAAAAATTATTAAATATTAAGGTTTTAAAATTATATTAGAATTTTCAAAGTACATATATTGCTTCTAGAATTTCCTCCCTCTCTCACTTGAGTTCCTAGCTCCATCTCTTATCTAACCAACCACAATTTAAACAACTAAAAATAAAATTATCCCACATTTTAAAATAAATAAATATATAAATCACTATTTTAGATGCAAATATGTTAATAGTTAGTAGTTACTCGTCCTAAAACTGTAAAACGTACGAACATATATTTAGGGTTTAAAACTATCAATCTTCAAGGTTTTCTCAAATAGTTTACGCTCTATTTTATTATTGTTTCGTCAGGATTCTATTGATCTACTTATGTATCATACACTTAATCCGTTTAAGGAAATACTGTTTACATTTAATTCATTATATTAAACTATAGGCGTGAATTGTTGTCTAGTAAAACTTGGGGAGAAAAATGTATTAAACTCTTCTATTTATTATTTTATAAAAAATAAGGATTCGATTAAATGATAATAAATTAATTTTATAAAATTAATGAGAAAGGAACAAGCGTACGCGCATAACAGTCAAAAGACTTTTCCCCTCAATTTGGCTCTCTGCACCTTCCTCTCTCCCTTTCATCCCCTCGACCATATAACTTAAAATAGTAAGGACGTAGTAGTAGTTGAACCAAGTCGCCATTTGACCTTTCTCCGCCTCCCCATTCTCACTTTCCCACAAAAAAAACTACTTAATCCACTCTTCTCCTTCCTCCTCCCAATCCCATTTCTCTCCATCACCTCATTATCTACTCACAATAATTCTTGCTTGATTTGCTCTGCTGAAGTTCATCCAATCGTTTTTGCTAAAAAGGAAATTTTAATTTGTTTGATTTTGAATTATAATTGACTGGTTATTCAAGTCAGAATTTTCAAGATGAACGATCTCTTTTCCGGTTCTTTCTCTCGCTTTCGAAACGAGAGCGCGTCGCCTGATAACCGCCACCACTCCGTCCAAATGTCGGAGACGCCGTCCACCGGCGGCGTCAATCTCGACAAGTTCTTTGAGGACGTCGAGTCCGTCAAAGACGAGCTGAAAGAGCTCGATCGTCTCTACACGAATCTCCAATCCTCTCACGAACAGAGCAAGACTCTTCACAACGCCAAAGCCGTCAAAGACTTGCGTTCTCGGATGGACGCTGACGTCAGCTCCGCCTTGAAGAAGGCGAAGTTGATCAAGGTCCGATTGGAGGCTCTGGATCGGTCCAACGCCGCCAACCGGAGCCTGCCAGGATGCGGACCGGGATCGTCGTCGGATAGGACGAGGACGTCGCTGGTCAACGGGTTGAGAAAGAAGTTGCAGGACTCGATGGAGAGTTTTAATGAGCTAAGACAGAAGATTTCCGGCGAGTACAGAGACACCGTACAGAGACGGTACTTTACGGTCACCGGAGAGAATCCTGATGAAAAGGTTTTGGACCGTCTGATCTCAACAGGTTAGTTCAACTGTTTGATTGACGGCTGATCTTTAATTACTAATTCAGTTTAATTTTTGTTTCTTATTTTGGTATAGTGACTTAACCCATAAAAATCACATATATTATAATATTGAACCATCCAAATTTAGACTATAAGATTTATAATTAATTTACAAAAAATTTCTGGTCTATTCATGCAATACGGATGTCTTGAAATTTTTATATACCGATAAAAGATCATTTGACTAATTATTATTATTATTATATTATTATTATTATTATTATTTTGTTTTTTCATTTAAAAAACCACCGACTAATCGTTAATGTATAATCTGCATGTGAAAAACTTAAAAATATATATGCAGATGAACTATAATAACTTATATATCTTTACATTTAATTACTCATAAAATTTGGTATTTTAACTACTTCTGGTGGTCAGTGATTCAAGAATGTAAATTTAAGGTAAATTTATATGTAAAACTTGTGATATATCATGCAATTAATAATTTGTGTTACAAATTTGACTATGAAATGTGATTATTTTTTCATTTTTCATAGTCAAGTCTTGATACAAAAGTAGCTTCATTAATTATTATTGAAGAAAAAGAAAAGTAAAATTACATTTATAATATTTTATGTTGGAGAAATAATTTGTAATCCTAGTAAAAAAAAAAGTCAGTAAGCGGGGATTATGGGAATTTGATAATGATTTTTAGTACTATTTAAAATGCAGGAGAGAGTGAAACATTCTTGCAAAAGGCAATTCAAGAGCAAGGCAGAGGCAGAATTTTGGACACTATAAATGAGATTCAAAGAGGCATGATGCTGTGAAAGACATGGAAAAAATCTGCAGGAGCTGCACCAGGTGTTTTTAGACATGGCTGTGTTGGTGCAACTCAAGGAGAACAATTAGACGACATCGAAAGCCACGTGGCGAGAGCTAACTCGTTCGTTCGTGGCGGTACGAGCGACTGCAGACTGCTAGAAAATTCCAGAAAATAGCCGGAAATGGACTTGTTATGCCATCAGCTCTTGCTGGTAACATCTTGTTCGTTGTGTTGTTCACTGTGAAGCCATGGGAAAAGAATAATAACACTGCCGCTGGTACTCCGTCGCTCCGGTTCAGCTCTCACCGCCAACGCCTGCTAACCGGTAGATGGATATGTTTCATGGCTTTGTTTGTAGATCAAACCATATGAGATTATACCGTAGCTTCGAATTTTTTTTTTTTTTTTTTTATTGATTTAATTTTTTTGAGACATTTGCAGTTGGGGTTAGTGAATTTTGCTTTGGCTGAATGTAGATTCTTTATTGTATCTATTATATTATTTTTGGTTTAGCTTTATAGTGGATGTTGTTTATTGCAAATATATGCACCTAACTTATACTAAAGTGTTTGAACTTTTTGGATCATTTCCGTTCTTTTGTATTTTGTAATAAATATTGTTGGTGGGAATTGTTTCATTGATCTACATTTGAAATTCCAAAAAATGGCTCCGTTTGGTTCAAAATTTGGGGGTTTTGAAAAAAGTTAAAAAAAAGTGAATTGGGCGGGTATTACGATGTAGAAATTTATAAATTAATAAAATACCTTTTATGTTTGTTTTTTTAACAAATAACCCCCTATAATAAAACATTAAAAGTTAACAAAAATACCCTTAACCTACCCTCAACCACCCCCAGCCGGCGACCACCACCGAGGTGGCCGGAGTCGCCTTATGGGCGCATGACTGGTTGAATCTACCGGTCATGCGTCCTATGGCCTTTCCAGCCAGATCCACGGTGGATCTGGCCGGAAAAGGTCATATCTGGCAGTATTTGCTCTCAACGACGGCCACAAAAACTCGTCGTTGATGGTCAACGACGACCGTTTGTTGGCCGTCGTGACCGAGTGTTACGGCCAAGATCTGGCCGTCAACGGCCAGATCTTTGGCCTTAGATCTGCCTTTTTCGGCCAGATCTTTGGCCTTAGATCTGGCCTTTTTCGGCCAGACCACTGTGATCTGCTGGAAAAGGCTAGATCGGGCACTAACCGGCCATTCAGCCGATAGTGCGCCATCCTACCAGATTCCGGTCATTTTCCGGTAGTGGTGGTCGAATCTGGTAAATGTGGATTATTGGGGTGCTTTTGTAATTTAAAAAAAAATATTTAAGGGTATTTAATTAAATTAACAAATTTAAGGGTTTAAAAAAAATTAAATATATTAAAAATAGTATTCCCAAAAATGAGAGATTTTGGTATTTTACTGTTTAACTTTTTTGGGAATACCAAGAGTAGATTCCCAATCTTGAACCAAACGGAGCCAAAATTTTCATACATTTCCATACAAGAACATAGAATCCTCCTCCAAATTTCATAATGCATTTTTTAAGTATCCTCTTATTATCTTTTCTAACGTAAGTATCTCTAATCCTAGTTATTATACATAAGGAATTGTATTTGTAGACTTCTTATTTGCATTGGGCTGACTGATTCTTTTATGAACTGGGTATGTTTGTAATTAAGTCAAATCGCAATAAATTTGCATAATATTTTTTTTCTGGTTGCTTGCTCTTTTAGTCGTTTTTTGTGGGTTTGGAAATGGGAGTGGAATTAGCTTCAAAAAAAGAGCTCATACAGCTACACTTGGCAATAGAATTTAATAATGAGACGGCAGGAGCCCAATAGGATTTCGTCAATTACTAAAAAGGTTTTAATATACAAGAATATCAAATCAAATTTATAAACTAAATAGAAATATTTTTAAAATTTCAGCACTCTAAATAAGCTCAAATTTGAGCTTCTCCTATAAACAATAAATAACTATTTTAAATCCTATAAACAACTTCTGAAATGCAATCAAACGTCTAAAAAAATTTCAAAAGTATTATAAATTTAAACAAGTAAGCCCAACCAAACAAACAGACTCTATATTCAAGAATTGTAACATTATCAAAACTTACACCGCTTTAATATAAAATCTCAAGGTTATCAAATAATTTTTTAAGTTGAAAATTTAAATTACTTTAATGTCATCACCTCACTTTATGTATAATCTAAGCTGAATAATTCATTTTTTTTAATTAATTTTAGATTTGAATTTGATTGTTAAATTATTTTGAATTTTTAAGGATAAATTTATTGTTAGGAAAAAATTTATAATATTGTGAGCTCAAAGAGAGCATAAAATGAACTTAACTTATTATTATTCTAAACATTTATTACAATCATTTTGATATTGGGGTGACTCTAAATAAAAATACCATTTTCATCAATTTTAAAAAAATATAAATAATAAAATATCTTTATTTTCTTAACTTAATATTGTGTTAGAATAAAATGTAGAAAATGGTATTGATTTTTTTTTTTCATAAGTGGCTCTAAAATTCAAATATATACCTTAAATTGAAAATCCTAAAATTCTCTTAAGATTACTAAATTGAACATAAAAAAATCCTAAAATTTTCTTATAAAATTTTCAATATTTCTCGAAATTTAATAAAAATTATCCTTTCATAATATTTTGAGCCCTTTTTAACTAGGGAGTTTATTGGGCCCTTAAGATACTGAATTTTGGCCTAAAACACCCATTGGGCCTTCAGCTTTCTCCAAAAAACAAAATCCACAACCTCTCCCTCTATCTCAGTGCTCTCTCTGCCGACTTCAATGGCGACCGTACGGATGATAGGTCGGTAGCTCAATCCTTCACAACACTCAGCCACTTTTTATTTCAATCATTGTTTATTTATATTTTATTTTATTTCTAATTTCATTGTTGTTGCTCAAAACAGATATAGCCGTTAACTTCACGGGTCAGTCAGGCATTTCTGCGAACATTTTTATCTTCCACTCATAATGTGCGCTTCATATCTTTAATTTTTGTGCTTCTTTGCTTCTGAATTTGACCAATTTAAATAACCAGATGGCATGTTCAAAGGAATGTATCATGGCAAGCAGTGCCATGTGTCTGATATCGCCCCGTTTTGAACCGGGCGTGGAGCGCCGGTGTTGATCGAATTATTGTAAGCAGTTTCTATTTCCCTTTAGAATTATATTTTAATTTAATTTAATATATTTTGTTATTTATTTGGTTTACCTTGTGATGAAAGGACTCCTAGTCCTGTTTAATTGCAGGTTTATAGAATACTTTTGTTTTATTTTGAATTTCCTGATGCTTTGAGGCTTTGAAGATAGTATAAATTTATGCCACTCTAAGCACAAGGACTCTTATTTAGAATCAAATTCCTTGATTACTTTCAAAATTTCCCTCTTTAAAGCTGTAATTTGTCTCTCTTTTCTTGGAGATTATCTCTTCTAGGTGTTTCTAGAAACCCTGAAAGGGAACCCAGATTTTTTTATTTTTAAAATTATTGAAGGTCAGGATAGAAGTATAAAAGTTGTTTTTTAGGGAGAAAATTTTCGGATTTTAGTGTTAAGTGAAGAACAAAGACGGTTATGGCTGAACTAGGAGGAGTGGTAGGGAGCCAGCGGGTGAAATTTTTTAAACACCCATCTGGGGTTGTTCTCAATCTTCAGAACATTGTATCAAATGTCAACTTGGATTGCAGGCTTGATCTTAAGCTAATTGCTTTGCAAGCTCGAAATTCAGAATATAACCCAAAGCGTTTTTCTGCCGTCATAATGAGGATAAGGGAACTGAAAACTACTGCATTGATTTTTGCCTCTGGAAAGATGGTCATCACAGGGGCCAAAAGTTAACAACAGTCAAAAATAGCGGCGAGAAAGTATGCTAGGATCATCCAGAAGCTTGGTTTTCCTGCTAAGTTTTAGGACTTCAATATACAAAATATTGTTGGCTCCTGTGATGTTAAGTTTCCTATTCGATTTGAAGGTCTAGCGTGCTCCCATGGTGCCTTTTCAAGCTATGAACCAGAACTCTTTACCGGTCTTATATATCGCATGAAAAAACCGAAAACTGTGCTCCTTATCTTTGTTTCTGGAAAGTTGTGATAACAGGAGCTAAGGTCAGAGATGAGACCTACACAGGCTTTGAGAACATATACCCTGTCTTGACAGAGTTTAGGAAGGTCCAACAGTGATGATACACGTTCGAATGTGGCTTCCCCTTTGTTCTGTTCCCGAACTGCTTTCTTCCAGGCTTGGTGTTGAAGGAGGTGGATTCAAGTTTTAGTTGGTGATGCATGGCTTAGGGAGCTAGCTTTTAGGCTTGTAGTTATGTCATTAGAATCTCCTATTATGTTCCTTGTCAGATTTACTCTCAATGTGGTGGTACCTTATGGGACTTAAATGTCATGTAATTAGTTATGTGGTTTAGGGGAAAGGCAGAATGAATGAAGCACATTCTTTTTTTCATGGTGAATTTAATGTGAACCAAAGTTTTTGGAGGATTTTCTTAATAACAATTTTCTTCCAATTTTGACAAAATGTTATGTTAAAGACCTCTGGTCTTCCTGCAATGATGACTTTTTCTTGGTTCTAAATTTTCATTGTCTGCTACTAAATGGAGAAAATTTCAAATTTTAATTTAAAACATTATTATTGCGTGATAAAATGGGTAAATCGAACTTTATTGTTTACCTTTTAGATCTTGGTTAATATTGGTCATCGTAAATTTGGAAAAGGTTAATGCTCACAGGTGACTGGTGGCTCTTTGGAGGAATCAAAAGAAGCTCTAGCCATTGCCGAAACTGATGGTTTGTTTTATCCTTGTTCAGTTGTTGCAAAATTTTACTTTTAGTTATGTATATGAACTTGGGGTTTTACTTGCTTGAAAGCCTGTTGTTTGTTGCAGGAAGGCTTTTTTGTACAGTTGGCGTCCACCCCACAAGATGCAAGGTTACTTACTGTTTCTTTTAATGTTGTTCTGTCTGATTATTGTGATGTAACTTGAATACATGTGTAATTTTGTGAGTTTTTCAAGATGTTTGTGAATGTTGTTTTTGTATGTTTTTTTTTTTTTTTTTTTTTTTCAGGAATTCGAAGAGAGTGGAGATCCAGAAAAGCATTTTCAGGCATTGTTGTCATTGGCCAAACAGGGAATTGAGAAGGGAAAGGTATGATCTAAACGACAAAACAAAGTTAAGGCATCTTAAATATATATCATATGGAAAGTGTTTACTTATAAATTGTAAATATAAAAGAATAATACTATTACTAATCTTAACACTCTAGTTTGAAGAGAGTGATTTAATGCTTTGTGTTGTATGTGAAATTGCAGGATTCTTTATGAATAAAATGTGTTAAGAATTTTGAATTTTAGTTGTTACTTTATCTCTGGTTGGCATGGCTCCTCGTTTAGATGATTGAAATTCAATTATTGCTATTATTATTATTTCTATTATTACTATTACTACTACACATACTGAAGCTAAAATTAAGTTTATGTTACGCTAATAATTGTAAGAAGTATCCATGCATTTAGAATCTGATGACAAGTATCTGTGCAGATAGATATAAACATCTATTTCTTGAGTACAATTTTTGTTGTATAACCCACTTGTTAGAATTTAGTTCTTATTTCTAAGTTTCTTAACTCCCCGGATAGTATATAAAACATCCTGACTCCAAATGATTTGTATTTTATGTGGCACTTACATTTTGAATGCATGTAAGGTGGTGGCCATTGGTGAGTGTGGATTGGACTATGACAGGCTTCACTTTTGCCCAGCAGAAATTCAAAGGAAGTAAGTGGTCTAAGAAAATTTGGACTATGTTCTTTCTGTTATTTATTAGTTGCAGAGTCCTTTCTTACAATCAGATAATTCCATGTTTGCATCACTTTTTTGTGATGTAAAAACTAGGTATTTTGAGAAGCAGTTTGAGTTAGCCTATGCAACAAAGCTGCCTATGTTTTTGCATATGCGTGCTGCTGCTGAAGATTTCTGTGAAATTTTAGAACGAAATAAGGACAGGTGAGATTACTTGATCCTGCAGCTTACGAGAACCATTGTGCTGATTGCTGAATGAAAATCATCACAAAAACCTTTCTACCTCATTTTGCTGAACTATACATTTTTGCACTTGCATTTAATGCATGATTGCTGCAATTGTGGATATTTGACTTTCCAGTGTATCAGTGGCTCTTTCCTTTTTGGGAAAACAATTATTATACCATTGACTATGATGTGCAAAATAGCTATTTTAGGAGAGAATTTTAAGCTTTGATTTACCCCTGTCTTGTCTTTGAAGCTCTAAAAAAGTGGCTATTTCTGTTACTCCGAAAGTCCAGGATTTTCTTTTATCACTTTGGAATTCTTTACCTGTGCTATACAAATATTTAGATGAACTCCAACATATTCTGCTAAATGGGTGAGACTATGTGCACCCCTAAAAGTACTCACCAAATCCCCTCCTATTATTAACTTTGTTAAAAAACAATTTTTTACCACAAACATCTTTATAATTTAAAAAATGAATTTTGCAGCTAATTCAAAACTAATAGATCGAGGCTTAAATATGTATAAAATATATTAAAACAACATTTTTGGTGAAAACTGATAACGAAATTGATTTATAAAAGTTATTTCCATTTATAAGTTATCTAGCGACAAAATTTTATTTTTCGAATAATACTACACATACATTATTTTCATACAACATTTCCCATACAATATTATGTGACAAGATATGATTGGGTGAAAGTTTAATTTTAACTTTGAATTAGCCAATCATATCTTGCCACATAATGTTGTATGAAAATGATGTATGTGTAGTATTACTCAATTATAAATATTTATTGAGTAAAACTATAATTCTTCATTTTTTAAATGATTGGGTATACTTAGAAGAGAGGTTGTGGAGAGTACTTTAAGAGGTGCGTATAGCCCCATCCCTTCACAATATATAGGTATTTACCAGATGACATACATTTGTGCTGCTTTAATAAGTTCTCTTCTTATTCTAGGTTCAGTGGTGGAGTTACCCATTCATTTACAGACAGTGCAGAAGATTGTGATAAGCTTCTTTCATTCAGTAATATGTATATAGGTGAATATTCTGCTGTTTTTTTTAATAACCTTTTCACAGTTCCCCTCCTTTATTGAATGCTACTTTGCACACATCTTCATGTCATATATAACCCATAAACCTCAACTGCCGGACTAAAAGGATCTGGAAATGGGAGTCATGTTCTGAGTGAAGCAACGGAAGATTATATCAGTATTGACAGTTTTGGTTTCTTATTGGTCAATTTCTTTAATTGGAAGTTATACATTTTAGGATGTAAAAAGTCTTCTGTATATTGCTTGTAAGAGCAGGTTGTTTGTAAATATCTGAGGGTTTGAAAGAATGGTGTGAGATTTATGAAACTTGGAGAGGTTTATAGCAGTAGCATGCATGGAAAGGAAAATAAATTAACAATCTGCCGCATGAGATAGAATCAAATAAAGTTGATGCTCCAAGGAGAGGGATGAGGGATGTAGTGTAAGAGAGCTTGAAGAAAGGGAATGGTGGAATGGAGGAATGGAAAGTCAGGAAATTATCTAATAGAATTTCATTTGTTTGTGGTGCTAAAGCTCACATTTACTGAGTGGGTCAAGCAAGTGCCTTGAATGGCGGCCTTATGTGTGATTGTTAGCATGTTACAGAAATTTCGAATATCACAACCCTTTTTCATACTTTTATGGTGCTGTGAGGAACAAATTAATTGGGGAGGGATTCTTTTAGAGCATCAAGGGAGAGCTCTCTCCTCCTGTGTCAATACGTAACTTTTTATTGGTTTGACACAAGAGTTTTCCTAGTTTCTCATTTTTTAAGAATATTAGCTCTAGGATGTAAATTGATATCAGTCCATGTATTATATCTCTTTGCTTTTGACATTTAACCTCCAGATTTTCTTCCTTACATTTACTATTTTGTTCACTGTCATCTACTTTCTAGAATGCTTTGATGGAAAATTCAACAATCTTGGTTGAGATTAATCCTCATATAATCAAAAAAAAAAAAAAAAAAAAAAAAAAAAAACTGGCATATGATAATTCCTTAAATTTGTGGAGTTTAGAGCTCTCTATTAACTTTATTATGTTTTTAATGGAGAAGACATTAGAAGATATTGCCTTTCTCTTCTATTAATGCAGCTCTCTTCTAGTTAATCAGCTTGCTTTAGAAAAATATATCATGGAACTTAGTTATAAAGCTGTTACAAATGTAACTTTTTGATGATTACCTTCTTAAACCTCATGATTTTGCTAATCTTTTTTTATTGAACAGGTGTAAATGGTTGCTCTCTAAAGACAACTGAGAATCTTGATGTTGTGAGGGGCGTACCTGTTGAAAGAATGATGATCGAGACAGATTCTCCATATTGTGAAATAAAAAACACTCATGCTGGGATGACTTATGTAAAGTCTACATGGCCTTCAAAGAAGAAAGAGAAGTATGATCCAGAGTGTATAGTTAAAGGCCGCAACGAACCTTGCCTAGTTCGGTGAGTGCAAATGTTTTCATTTGCAGTATTGTAATTTTTTTATTTTTAAATTCCATAAGATGAATAAGAATTACTGCATGAGTTTCAACTAAGGAAATTAGTTTTTTACAATGGAATGAGTTATTGATATTGAGTATTTGAAGCTACTAAAAATGTTGTAGCAGTCCTACAAGCTGAAGCTGCTAGATGAGTATGGCATACCTTCAAATACATAATTATAATTTTATAATGGCATATATGAATCTCTTTGATCAGACAACCTTAATGTTACTTCATTCTTTTTAGTGTGCCATATTCAGAAACTAAGACTTGGTCCTTGTACATTTTATGTATAGATCTTCTATAAAAATGTTCCATATGTTAAGAGTGTGTATTGTTTTTAATTCTTGTGCTCATTCTCATACATACCATTGTGGTTTCCAGGCAAGTTCTTGAAGTTGTGGCTGGTTGCAAAGGTATCGACAACATAGATCAACTAAGTAGGACCTTATACTACAATACCTGCAGGTAAATATGTTGGCACCATTGGAGTTTATTGCTTTAATCTATCATACATTCAGGCATTCAGTGGTATGCTCACTTGAGTATACTGATTACTTAAGAATATTTTACCACTTCCACGATTTTGTCTGAACAATGTCTCAACTGGGAACATTAAGTCAGGTCATATCTAGACTCAACTAAGTGATATTATAACCTGAGCTTCATAGCGAGCACGGTGTTTTGCATTCTCACTGTCACATTGCTTTACCAGTATGGTCAATTATCCCTTTGTCATTTTAGTAATTATGGTAATTTGTTGTGCAGGGTCTTCTTTCCTCATGACTTGGATTCCGCTGCAGATGCTCTTCTTGCTGGTAGTCATGATGCTCAATAAAGAATCGATATGAGTTGTAATTTTACTAGAACAAACTTCTTGCTTGACTGTTTTGATACTCAATTCCTTTTCAATATTGAAGAAGACACAAGTCCTCGTTTTTCATCAGAAACTGAGATTCAACATTGCAACAGAATAGCTTGGACAGTAAAATGAGCTTTAATAGCATACTTTGCACTCATATTTTGTTATAAAAGTTGAATACCAAGTCAATTTTGGATTTGGAATTGGGAATTTTTTTTTTTTTTTTTGGTCAATGAGAATATTTAGTGCGCATTTCAACTAATTCTCCGAGGCCTTGGAATTGTCGATCGGATAAAAATCTCATTAACCACTTCTATTTACACTTATGAAAACTCGAATTCATGAGTTTATGAAATCTTCTTTGTTTTTTTATCATCAGACTACTCAGTGGTGGTTCGGAATTAGGAAACTAAGTAGTGTAAACAGAACATTGTCCAATTAACTAAAGCTCCTCCATCTGTTTATTACTGAACATTGTCCACTTGACAAAAAAATAAAAAAAATTTGCCATTCTGTTACATAGTAAATCAAGAACTATGCATCCACTCTATATATCTTGTTGAATAAATAAGAGTAAAATTCTGCTTTGCTACAATTTGCAGTAATTCTCTTGTACAATAAACATTTACATACACTCAACCCAGAACAAAAGGACCGTTACCATAAGCTTGTCCTTTCACATTTTTGTCGCTCTCCGATTAGGGTGAACTATTTTGTAAATAATAAGAGTCAAAATTTAGTCACAGAAGGTAATATTTTCACAGAATACTCCCATGATATTCGATACACTTTTTAGGTGCTGATGCTAGAAAATAAATCACTACTGTCAAGACTGCTTTCTGTGTTTCTATCCGATGCTTGCACTGAAGGAGCAGAAGCTTTTTCAGCAGCAACGTTTAATCGTAAAGGTCGCCCTTCAACCTCCTAATTGCAGAATTCATTACATTAGATAAAAAGAAAAGTTTAACTTTCACTAAGAAACTTAAAATATGTGTTACCAAATCATCCTTACCACTCCGTTCATGGTGTTTAAGGCAGATTCTACATCCTCAGCGGTTTCAAACGAGATAAACCCGAATCCTCGAGATCTACCTGTGTCCCTCTCATAGATGACCTTGGCACTCAACAACCCTGGTTGGTTGGCAAATGCATCTCTAAGACCCTGTGAGGTGAGACCCCAACCAAGATTTCCAGCATAGATCTTGTAAGGGCTGTCAACAAAGCTCTGGTTACTGCTCCGTATTCTTGGTCCCATGACCGCCCTCTCCCCTCCCCTTGGCACTTCCGGGAAGTTTACCTTCACAGTCCGGCCTCCAATTTGCTGTCGACAGATACCAAAAATGAAACTATGTTAACTTTCTCGGTATTTAACATGTAATTGTCGCTCCATCTTTAACAAACTTCAGTCACAAAATATTAAGTTTGGGAAAGTTACAAACTGGCCTGCCACAAAATAAATAGAAATTAATATAAAAATCAACTTGATAAATGTTCCCGTTAACAGTTAGAAATTTATATATCTGCATTGTGCAGCCGATCTCTTTGGCAGCATTCCCAAATCCAGATTTCTCTCTTCATCAATATGGAATTATTGACCACTCTACCACCTTAATCAACATGATAAAATTAGCATAGAAGTTGACTCATTTTTTTCATCTGAATTCTTTTTCAAAGCCATCTGATTATTGCTATAAAAGTCAATGCACCAATGTGCAGAGGCGAAATCCCTGTCTGTCAGCTGATACAGCCCCACAATTCAGGATTCTACATGCGAGTAACGTTACTAGAACGAAATCTACAAGTCACAGTATAGTTATAAACTTGACGTTTCATGTTATAAGAGCAACATTCTCATTCATTAAATATTACACTTTGGCCCCCAAAACATAATTTTCTGGTTCCGCCATTGCAAGTAACATTACTAGAACGACATCTACAAGTCATCGTATAGTTACTAATTTGACATTTCATGTTGTAAGAGCGACATTCTCATTCATTAAACATTACACTTTGGCCCTCTGAAACATAATTTTCTGGTTCCGCCATTGCGAGTAACATTACTAGAACGACATCTACAAATCATCGTATACTTACTAATTTGACATTTCATGTTATAAGAGCGACATTGTAAGTTAAAAAAGTTCCATGTTGGTAAAGTTATTCCAATAAATTAAAATTGATTTCAGAAATTAAATCATAATCAAAAGTGAAGCCATGAGAAGAAATGAAGAAAACACTTACAGAACCATCAAACAAACGAATTGCTTCTTTAGCTTTTTCCACACTCTCCATCATTACAAAGCCAAAACCTCTGCTCCTGTCTGTAACTCGATCATAAACAATCTGAAAACCCCCCCAAAAAAAAATAAAAAATCAACACGGCAATAACACAATCAGGAAAAACCCCACAACCCCATTAATCCAAAAACAGAACTTGAATAAAAAAATAAAAAGAAAAGAAAAAAACCTCAGCAGAAATCACACGACCAGCCTCCTCAAAAACCTCAGCTAACTGAGAAGAAGTCATTGAATAAGGCAAGTTTCCAACGTAAAGTCTTCCTTCTTCACTAGCCTCTGCCACTTTTGACTCTGTTTCAGGCTCTGATTCTGATTCTGTTTCAGGCTCTGTTTCTGTGTCTGGTTCAGTTTCTGCTTCTAGGACGTCTTGGTTTTCATCTTCAGAGAAATGAAATGTTTCAAATGAGGAAGATAGGCGGCGAAAGTGAGCGAAATGAGTGAGGGAGAAGTGGAGGGAAGTGGGGTGGAGTAGAGTTTTGAGCTTGAGAGAAATTTTGGGTTTTGAAGATGGAGGAAAGTGGGAAGTGGGGAAGAAGAGGTTTGAAAACTTCTTAAAGTTGCAGAGAGAAGAAGATGAAGCAGCCATGGAGAGAGGAGAAGAAGAAGAAGCTGCCATTTTGGATTGAAATGGAAGGAAATAAAAAAATATCTGGCTGGCAGATTATTTGCAGCTCAGAAGAGAAGCTAAACTGAGATGGATAAGGTTGGGTTTGGGCTGGTTGGGCCGGTTGGGTTGGGCTAGCCCAATGAATTTGATGTCATACATTATCCAATTATAATTTCAAAAAGTAATTTTACGTTCATAATAACTTTGACGTGATAATTTGTAATTAGTCAATCGTAATTTATCAGGTGAAACTATTATGAGTTGCCACGTCCATAATTACGGTTCCAATTAGAAATGTCAGCATATGTCTTCCATGTGTCAAACTTCTGAGGAATGATCAATTATAATTCAACAATGCTATAGATATCGGGGTTTTTACACCGAAATTTTGTACCGACCTACGTGTCTCCTGACTCAGACCATTCAACATATTTGACGTTATTAAATTTTTTTTAAAATATAAAAATTTAAAAAAAAATTTGGAATGGACGCCCGTCCCTACACTAATTAAAAAGCTTCAAGTTGACTCAACAGCTGCATTTTTTCTTCAAGCTGATATTTAGCCTCTGAAAGTTTCATTTGAGCTCTCTTCACGCAATACATCACCTAACTGCATCGTCCATTATCTGCTTCTTGAGTTCAGGTTCAAATGCTAAGGTTTGCGTAGCAGCTCTGGCAAAAACACCAAAGGAACAAGCTTTCATGAAAAACCCAGGAAAAGTTACGGATTGCAAAGAGAACCCATGCTGCAAAAAGCTGATTTAGATGACCAAGTGAAGATTTGATGGAGGGAGTCAATGAAGAAGCCGTGGAGGCATGAACAAGAAGAAGTGGGTGCGTTTCGGTGCAATTTTTGGCTTCCTGGCAGGAAAAGAAGTTAACCGTGTTTCGGTGCAAGTTTTCGGTGTAATTTTTTTGGTGGATATAGCATTTTTGATTATATTTAACAATGTCAGCATGTATTTTTCACTTGTCAAACTTTGGAGGAATGATGTCACTCTGACAGAAGAAAATTATTAAAATGATTTTTAAAGATTTCTTAAATATATATAAACAAAATTTTTAAAATTTTGATTTTTACACCATATATCTCGATAATTTAGAGTGTAAAATACTTAATTGATTGAAAAATATAATGAAAACTAAAAAAATGGCTGATACTTTAATGAGAAAAGTCATTTTAAAATTATACTACCCTGTGTTCTTATACACATTGGTATGAAAGGGTATTAGTTTAGGAGTATATAGTCTCACTCGTTAAAAACAGCCTTATTATAGGCTTTTATTTAAAAAAAATAATTGATTTTTATAATTAATAATAACATTAGATTTTTAAAAATAATTGCAGTATACATACAACTCTAATGACTGATTGTCTAATGCAAAATTATTGCCCACCTTAAAATAGCATTAACTTAAGTATCTAATTCTTAGATAGGGTTAATTACTTTTTCCCACTCAGTTTAACGATACTTTTACACCCATAGACGTATAAAATACCACTTTATTAATCAAATTTATATTTTATTGACGAACGGAGAGCAAACTTGATCTAGACTATTGGAACTTTTGAAGAAGAGAGGGTGATGACTTTTTTGGTGATGGAAGATTAGATTTTGGTGGTTGAGATTGATCGAAATTTGACTTGGGAGGGGCGGTTACACAAACCCTAATCGCTCAATTGTTACCGATTAGCGGGATTAACAGGAGTAGAGTTTGAGAGGTTTGAGTGAATGATAATCAGAGAAGATAATAGTGGTAGTGTGGAGTGACAATGATGCCGAAATCGAAAACGAAATATAAATTTAAATAATAAAATGATATTTTAAAAGTCTTTGAATGAAAAAGTGTTATTAAACCATTATTTGGATAGGAAAACGTAGTTTACTCTTCTTAATTATAACTCCCCAAATAAAACATCGCTACGAACCAATCAATCACAAGAAAATAATTTTTTTTTTCAGATACACATTCATATAAGATATTTGCATGCTCCGATTGGTTGGATTGAAGAGAAGTGTTTTCCTACAATCAAATCCTCAACTTTTTCTGAAACAGTGGAATTTGACAAGCTAAACAAGCATATTACCCAGCTTTGTAATCTTGGTCTCATTTGGTTAGTCTTAAAAAACAAAACCTTCATGGCAAGTAGGAAGAATATTTTAGTCATTTTTCCAAGAAACTATCTTAACATCATACAATCCAGATGATTAATTATAAATCAAGTGCAACATATCATGTCAAGAGCAATCTTGTTCTCTTCAGTGACCAAACACAAGCTACAAGTCCAGCTCAAAAACTACAAATAATATACTTCAAATTCTATCAGCAAATTAAGGTGGCGTCTTCACAACACTATTCTACTTAAAAGCATTCCATAATATGAGGTTCAAGTAAAGCCTTTTCTTACATTGAGTACAGTATACAATGCAGAAACACAACTTCAATTATACAAGAGACGTAAAATCCAGAAACTCAGACAAACGAAGTTCAAGACGCACACACTTGAACATAGTTTTTCCTTTTATTTATCACAAACCCATATCTAACACATTTATTGGACAAATGGGAATAATCCCATTATAGTCTAGTTCTTAGTTTATAAGTACTTTGAACTGCATTAGGGAGTTAGCATCTCTAGCACTCCACAACTTCAGCTCTGAATTGAGTGGACAAGACGACTATAATATTCCATGAGCCAAGAATGAATTGCCTAAACCAAATGGTGATCTGGGAAATCCATTGAACTTCTCCATTTGGTCACAGCAAGGAGGGGGTTTGGTGCATGCAGCACCAAGCCCGCTCCTTCCTCGCTGTCAAGTTGTAAGGTTGCCGCAGCTGTCTGCTGCAGCAACCCACTGGCTGGGCATAACAATGCCACGCCCACTGTCCATAATTCCAGGGAAAGACTGGACAGTTTGCCTGAGATGACTAAATGGGAAGCGATTGAAATCCCCCCTAGAGTACATGCTAGTCACCTCTGAGCCTGAAAGATTTGATGTGTTGCAGTGAGTTTCTTTTGAAGAATTCAAATTTCCATCCTCGGATTGCAGGACTTCAGAACTCTGAGAACCAGTGGGTGGAGACAGTCGCTGCTCACCACCTTTCTTCTCCTCAATTCTGCCATTCTCTTCTTTTCGATCTTTTGCATTCAAGAAACGGCCTCCACACCCCCTTGGTCGACGCATGGCATGGAGATGGCGCGAATAGTGCATATATGTCTTTGGAAAAGAAAAATAGCCAAACAATTACAACCAGAGTAGGGAAGAGAATTCAAAAATTATCGAGAGCAGAAGATGTTCTGATATTGGTCATGATTAGCATAAAATTAATGCTAAAAGTCCTATAATTTTGGCAACTTTTAAGCAATTTCATTTAGTCAATATATCAGAGGAGAACTTCTGAAAGCAGAGCTTATTGTACAATAAGACAATAAAGGTCCCAAATTACAGAATGTTAAGGATTCAATAAATTGAACTCATGCATAACCAAAACCAATTGGATTAACAAACCTACACATTCATATTAATGACCAGATCCAAGGGGGAGCTTGTCACTTTTGAAAAAAGGCTAGGATTACTTTGTATAAGGGAACCCATCAAGTAGGTCAATTCATATGATTTTTTCTTTTTAATGATAACATATTGAGTATTTTGAGTCCAGATATCATACCTTGCGTTTGGCACTAATTTTATTCTCAAGTACAGCCTTAGCACGTGACTTCCGACGCCTAATGATTCCATGATACTGCTTAGCGTTAACATATATCGGTCCATCATCACTTGACAGATTCAGTGGCAGCATGATCCGGCCCTAGTTTGTTGTGAATAAGTATATGCATCAGTTAAACTTGGCTAGATCAATAGTATCGTCAGATATAATCATCTGCCTAAGCAAAAACCAGATGCAAGATAATAAATATGCAATACATTGCTGCATCCATCTTCCAAATTTCCCTTTATGTAATTATCTTTTCGTGTTTATAGTTCTTTCTTTTTCTTCTAGGGGTCCCCTCCAAAACTAAATGAAACTTTTGGCCAAAAATCACATTAGATTCATAACCAAATTAACTAGATGCTGAAATTTCAAGCTCAGAAACATGCAATAAAATTTCTCATAATATTTTCTGATTATGATTCTTAACTAAATTAGAAGGATGGGGATTAAGCAACTTTTGTCTCTCTAGATTATTTATTTATCTATACAAGCACGCACCAAAAACACCAACATGTGCAGATGAGGATTCTGCTTTCTCATGGAAAAAAATTATTGCAAATATAGCTACATAGAAATGATTGAGCTAAAAGGAATTATGGGAGACATACCGAAATTTGAGGTCCATAAGCCGAGAATACTCCGTAATATTGATCTGCATATGGGTATTTTGCACAGATCTACAGTTGCAGCCCACAAATAAAGTGAACAATCAGCCATCAGGGGCTATAAACCTAAGAGAAATAATGTATTGAAAGAAATTATTAAGTTTACGAAAATTCTTACCATGTGCTGGCCAAAACCTATCTCAAAACAAGCATGTTTTTCTGGCTGAGCTGATTGCAGAGAAATGGCACCAGGAAGCTTCTGTCCGTCCAGGGATTTTTTGCAATCATCTGAATGAGAAACTAGGCAGGTTAAAAATAATCAAAATGAAATGTTCTGTATCAAAAGAATATTACAACTTAAATCTTGAGTGCCAGCAGGGAATGAAGATATGGATACTTTTCCTTGTAGTGATGATACAAGATAAGTTAGCAATACTAGTTTTAAGAAACAAAAATCTTTGATCGTTATGCATAGTGCTGTTTGCAAAAAGAAAATAGTCTTTGAAAGAGTTGTAGAAGATTGAAATGTAGCAGAAAGGACTGAGAATCGGTATCAAGAAGTTGAAACTAAGGCTTCATAAGTAGAGCTGCATTCAGATAGAGAAATAACATGAAAAGCATGTAACTGAAGCTCATAATTCTTTGATTTTAGAACATTTATGATTTCGCCTAACTGAATTCTACTTTGGGGTTCTTACAAATATGCGGGAAACAGTAGCACATATAGTAAATTCGACCCACCCAATACTAGGTCTATCTGTCAATTTCTTCACTGTGATTCTAATTTACAAAAGAAACAATTGACAGACAAAAGGTGTGACAAAAGGCTACTTTGCCATTGTGTGCCGTTTGTTACCTCATCAAATGCCCTGGAAAATGGATTATTTGAATTTCCATTTGGTGTCTCATCAATAAAATTTTAGATCAACTACTTAACCCGTAAGCTTAAAATTATGATTAAGGAGTCAACACTACTATTAAGCTCTTTAACAGGTACCTTCACATGTAAGGATGAAAAGACAGAACCGAAATACAGATGGAACCCATAACAAATGGAGCAAACCAAAGTAAGACGAAAAAGAAAAAAAAAAAATAGCACATAGAACAATGAAACCCAATATGTAATATACCAATGTGAAATTCGAACTTAAGACCTTGATTTTGATATCACGTTAAATTAGCTAAGAGCTTAGCTTTTAGAAAAGGCTAAACACTAGTATGAAGCCCTCTAATATACAAGCTAGAAACTTACTTCAACAAAGATATGTTTCATTTAGGAGCTATTACTTATTTCATCAAAGCCCTCTAATATTATGCTATAACTAAGGAGCTATGCTGAATGTTATCCGAGAAAATCGTTTTTTGGGTAAATTGGTACAATCTGACACCGAAAATACTAACTAGACAGCATAAAAAGAGATTGTGATTTGTCCGATAGAGAAATCCAATCAACAGAAGAAACAATAGAAAGGAAAAAAGTAATTAAAAGAATTTGCATGATCCTCCAAAGACAGGTTCTCTTCTAAACATGCTACTAATATTTTCTCTCTTCATCCTAGGACAAGCAATGTAACCCCATCCTCCATAACTCTTGTAATTATAAATAGAGTAGGCATCCTAAAGCATTAAGAAGCAAAAACCCAATGCAAAGCCCACCAAATGATTTAATTTTCTTCATCCTAGAAAGGCTTAAAGTTGAGAGCAGTAACCCATCAGGCTAAAGAGCAAGTACCAAATATTCCTGGTGATAATAGTGATTAAAAATTTAAGAAGAACACAAACAATTTTCTACTGTTTTTGTTCAACTGAGTCTTGTATCCAAAAACAAAAGAACATAAATCAAAAGAGGGAGATTAATTACCAGGAAACAAAGTGAACTGTGTTGGGTTGCCCTTATCAAGCCTTTGACCTGCCTCTTCAGAGGGGATTTCCATGGAAAAGGACTTCAATTGGCCACAAGTTGCCCCATAAACAGGCTGAGATCCCAACTGACTCCACCAAGGTGCTGGTGGCACAGATGAAAATTGCCCAATTGGGTTATGAACATTCCCTTCATGCTCTTTCAAATACACGGTTTGCATGGCCATTTCTGCCCTCAAAGAGTTCCAAGCAGCAATTTTTATAATGCTTCCTTTCCACTAACTTCTACAAAAGGCCTGCAATTCAAAGTTAGAACAATAAATTACCACCAATTCTTTGCCAAATTGTGAGTTATTACAGAGTAAAAAAAGGAAAAAAATTAAAATATCTGAAAAACATGTGGTTGCCATGTATGATCAGAAAACAAAACATACCAAAACTTGAGTAAAAAACAAAAAAAAAAAACCATCATAATATTTCTACAAACAGAACACAAAAAAAAAAAAAAAAAAAAAAAAAACACAAATAGAACCAAGTTGATAAATGAAAAAATTTAAGAACAAAAATAAAGAGGAACCCACAAAAGACACAAAGAGATCAGCACATCAACATAAGAAAAAAGATTGAAGCAGGAAACAAAGAGGAGAAGATTCAATCTGTAGTCAAAACCAAGCCTGAGAATCACTCACTTTGACAAGACCAAGAAACAGTTGAAAAAACAAGAAGACTTGCGCTAAGTGAGTTGGAAGACTAAGAGGAAGAAGAAGAAGAAGAAGAAGGAGAGTAACCCCATATGTTAGGAGCCATGTCGGTACAATAAGAAGCAAAAGAAATAGAGAGAAAACCAAGAGAGAGAAGAGTGCAAGTTAGCGTACAAGTGTAAATGGAACTACACGACATTAACCAATAAGCTTGAACTTCCATGCAAGTCATTTTGTATTCTGAAATGAATTAAAAATAATTTTATTTATTTGTATCACTGTCTTGTCCTTGTGGTCACTTCCTTGTTTCTTTCTTTCTTTATCTCTCTTGCTTTTTTTATTTTTAACAATACAAAGCCAAGCTAAGCTTGGGGCTGTCATCCCTCATCACCTCCATTTTTTTTTTTAAAGCTTTTAACTTTTTCTTTCTTTTTCTACTGTCTCAAATCTAACAAGTGTAGTGTGGGGATGTGCGTCAGAAAAGCCGCCACGAAAGGGCCATTCAATGGCTAGGAATTCACCAGGTTGGCTTAACGGTATTCGTTATCGCTATCTATGTCTAGCAAAGGATCTTCATTGATAAAGTTTCCTACGCATTCTTTTGTATTATAATCATATAAAGAAAGTGTATTCATGTATTTTAATGGTGTTCATATTATTCTCATTTGTTGATTGTATAAAACTTTTATGAAAAAGGTTACCGTAAATATAGTCGAACTTTTCTATTTCATACTATGATTAACAATATTATATATGCTTAAATTATACATTTAAAAAACAATTACATGACCAAAGAAATATTATTATAACGGTAATATTGTTAGTATCGTGTTTAGGGAATGATCTCTGCCTTAAAAAGTATTCTGCATATTTTGTTACATTAACTATCGTTTAAAAAAATGACAGCAACAAAACCCTTTTTGTGATTTCTTTATATGAAAGGATCGTACGAAAAACTGATTCCTGCATGATAAACCTTTGATCAAAAGAGTTTTACCAATTCAAAAAGAATTTTTTTTTTTTTTTTGCTTTGAAAAATTATTCAAATCAAATCCTTTCGATTTTGACATCAAAAATATACTTGCGAAGTTTGTTCCAATATATTGATTGATATTAATCCTAAACCCTTGCCCCATGTACATTACAATCCAACAAAAAACAAGGGTTGTAATAGAAGCGAACAAAGGATGTCGAGCCAAAAGCCCATTCATTCCTAGACAATATCAATAATAAATAAAGTGTGTTCTATTAATTGGTGCTGATATGATTATCAGTAGTTGTTTATATTGGAATAAGATATATAAACTTAAATTATATATGCATCAATGATTTAGTTTCCATATTTAAAATTATTTATAAGTTTTTATTCTATTTAAAACCATATATATACAATATTTAAAATATTAGAGGTTGATTTAATGTGTGTTTTAATTTAAATAAATAAAAAATTACATGTTAATTGTTATTATGGTTACCAGAACATCGTATATGAAGGTCTTCTAGTGTTGACTTCTTTAACTAAAATTAGAAGTATTTCTTTACTTAACTTTATAAAGAAAAAAATATTAAATGGACACTAATGGTCATTACAATTGACAAGGAATCATTCAACAGATTTATTGAAATTTTAAATAAGGTTTTATGTCTATATTTCAAACCTAAAAGGTCTATTTGTACCTAAATAAGATATTTTTCTTTATTATTATTTTTTTTTTTATCATATTCTTTCTTGTAAAGGCAAATTTTTAATGACATTCCTTCAAGTTTAGACTAAACCATAAGTGGACATCAACAAATTTTAAAATTTATCATAATCTTCCCTCAAAATTATTAAAAAAATAATAAGTTTATCAATAAACTGTCCAACATCTATATATGGTAAAGAACAGAACATTTTTTAAGATAAAAAAAAAGTAATTAATGCAAGTGGGTTAATGATAAGTTTAAATATAATTAGAATGTTAATTAATATAATTAGTGGTCTTTGGTTGGATCTTTGGATTAAGAATGGAAACAGTTGTACAAATTAATTTATTTAATTAAATATGGTGGCCATAACGTCACTTTATTTTAGGTAAATATCAACATTGAAAATTTATAAATTTAACAAGAAAAATTATGTTATTTTATTGCCTTTGGTTGGATAGCTTTTACTTTTCCTTTTCCTTTGGAATTATCTATAATTTATTCCCAATTTACCGGTTTAATGATATATTAAATTAATCTTAATCAGTAATTAATATTATAAAAAAAATCATTACGTGTTATCATAATATCGTTATACTTTAGCATCAAAATTTTAGCGATTTTTGTTGCTGAATTTAGAAAATGTACAATATGGGTTCGGTAATTTTTATTTGAAAATACTTTTAGAAAACACTTTGGGTTAATTGATAATTTTTGTGATTTTTTTTTTGTTTTTTCACAATAATTGACATTTTTATGAACTTTTCACAGTTTTTTTTTAATTTTTAATTTTCTATAATTTTTCTGAAAATAAAAACTATAATTAGATTTTTTTTTTTTTTTTGTGGCAAAATTATAAATGTTATTGATAAACTATAAAAAGGCAAGCATAATTTGACAATACCAAACTCTTTTAATTTACCTTTAACATTAAAAACATAGAACATATGATTGCAAAGACAATAAACCCTAATCTTTTTTTTTTTTGGTGACGGGTAGTAGTGTTCTAATCAACTTGCACACATTTCGATTAATCCCATAAGATTCTAAAATAAATAAATAATTTTGAAAATTTTAATAAAATCGTCATCTGTGGGGATCAAACCCACAACCAAGTGGTTAACAGCCACGCGCTCTACCACTGAGCTAAGACAACTTGATAAAAAAAGTGAAAAATCAACTTAAAATGTCAATTTTAGTCTTTAACTAAATAAATTCATTATAATTAAGCACAAGTTAATGATAACTTATGATTAAAGAAAAGAGATTGTTAATGCATTTTAAAGTTCATACCTAAAAATTTTGGATAGGACCACAATAAAATTAAGTTGCAAGTGTTGTCACTATTCTTACCTATCCACTCTACCAACGTGTTTATAAGAAATAAAATTTGGTGGTCCTTATCATTGTTTGTTTAAATTAAGGTTGCTAAGTAAATTAATTTATTTAAAACATTGGTCAAATTTAGAGACATCGTCACTAACCTGATGCTAATACCATTGGATTTTTTAGAATGAATTTTTAACAAGAAGTAAGAATAAAAAGTGTTTAATTTAATTAATTAATTTATATAAGTATACGCCGGCTTCTATTTTAACATAACTTGTCTTTTTATTCGATAGTTTTAATGTTGTTTTGATTTAGTCATAATCATAACGTACGTATTTTCATGTACAATGATGGTTCAACCATCCTAATTTTCATTTTTTAAATTTTTTATAATATTTTATTTATTTTTTTTTAAAACTAAATTCTTTTGACTTTTCTTGCTATTTAGTTTAGATATTGGTGGAGATTGATTTGTTTGGTTTAAAAAATAAATTAAAACCTTAAACTTTTTTTTTTTTGTATATAATATAAATTAATTTTATGAATCCTTGCATACATATTATTTCTAAAATATTAGTGGGAAATTAACAAAATTTTCTCTTTTTCATTGTTTCACATAAACTATTTACTTAAATTAATTAAACAAACTGATGTGCTGTAATATAATTTAACGTTCAATTTCCCTGTTGGCACAAATGTAGTATCTTGCCTATGATTTATTTGGAGGCCATGATGATGGGTTGCTGTGAGATAGTTTCCCATGAAAATTAGTTAAAGTGCTCGTAAATTAGTCTAAATACTTTAGTTATTAAAAAAATATATAATTAAAATTATTTGAAAGTAAAGATAAATGAACAAATTAAAGTGAATGATATGACAATCATACATAGTTAACTCATCAATTTGTATAAAGTAACTTTTACAATAGAGCTTGTATATTTTACATCGTTCAACCCGTTGCAAATTCAAATTTGGGTAAAAGTCATTTAGAAAATATTTGTTACTATCTTATGATTTGAGCTACCGACAAAACAAATGCTACAATTTGAACTAACTACTAAGATCTAGAAAGGGTTTTGAATTGAAAGGTTGCCCTCTTCCTCACCAAACTTTCTTCTCAAGGGACCACCATAACCAAACAAAAAATGTTTGATGTTTTATATAATTAAATTACTTACTCTAAAGTTTTAGGGTTCCTAGCTAGGCGCTTGGAGCTCATGGTTGAAGACAATGAAGCTTGTCCTATCTTTCAAATCATGGGTTTGATCCTAAGCTCAATTATTTTGGACTTATCTAATCATATGACATTTTGATTGTACCTCTATAAGAGTAAGGCAAAAGGGAAATTATTTTGTTATTTTTCGATATTCATAAAACTAATGAGTATATTTGTAATTTTATTCAATATAGAATCCACAAATGGTTGAAAATTCTATCATTGTATCCCTATCCTCACTGCCTCTGTTGTCTAAATAATGAGAAAATTGCATTAATTTGAATCATTTTATACATGCCCATCTTCATATTTTAAATGATTCTATTGCCCACCTCTTATATTTTCAAAATTGTAACAAATCTTTGGTAAAATTTTTTAGAAACTTTTATGTATATTTCCTAATAGGGATAAGTCCAGTACCATATTCTTCTTTACACGATTTTAAGTTATTGGATTAAGCACTTTAAATAATTAAAATTTAATGTAATTTATACAATTAATATACATTGAAATGAAATATGTTAGATCTAAATTCAATCATTCTCGTTCTCGAAGCAAATTTAGGATGTGATTGAATTCATGGTATACATTTTGTGAAAGAAATAGTATATTTCATTTAGAGGTATCCATTTATTTTTATCTCAGAATATGTTAAATTAACTAAACAATATCTATTCATACCATAACCTATTAGGGATAACGAGGGATCTTGTCTAAATAATGCTTGTAAATTTAATTTGAACCCAAAAAGAAAATTAATATCTCTATATACAATACATTCTCTATTTCTTTTTATCTAAAAATGTTTTAAATTAATTTATTGATATCTACTCATACTATAAGCCAATTAGGGATGACAGTTTTGGATATAGTTTATACTTTGTATGACCTTGATAGATTATCGGCTTACCTTGATGCATTCAAGGGTCCCTAGTGTGAGAAAATATTGTAATAGTGAAAAAC